TGTCAGACTATCTGCACCAAGGTAAAAATACCAGCGCCTTTGAAAACTCGAAAAGCTCCGCGGGTATCTCTCCTGTTAACTCATTACCATGAAGAGAGAGATTAGTAAGATTTTTAATGTGCCTGGGGAACGGAAGGTTTAGAGGTGACACGATCCATGATAGATCCAACTGGGTAACTAGTAGACCATCATCACCAGTCCAATTGCACTGAAAGTCACCAAATCAGTTTGCAGGGGTGCCTTCAATTAAGATTTTGATGAATTTAGAATATCATAAATCCTAATGAATTTCATGGATTTGAATAGATTTCCACAAATTACATAAGATTTCATCAAATATGGTGAAATTTCATAAGATTTGATTATATGTATTTTTAAGTTTGAAATACATCCCAATCATTTAGAATCCCCCTATTAATGAAATTTTTATAAATCCACTAGTTATTGAGAATACCTAAATTTTAATGGATTTTATTGAATTTCATTAATATCTCAATTAGGGACGTTTAAATTTTAATGGATTTCATTAAAATCCATTAAAATCTCAAAACCTAAGTTTAGAAGGATTTTTAAAATCCATCACAATCTCAATTGAGGATATATCTCTTCTATGGGATAGTATCTCAAAGCTTTTAACGATTTCATGTCACCAAGGGAAATTGTCACTTGCAGACAGTCGATACACGAAGCAGAAAAGGACAGTGCTGGTGAGAAAATGAGAAAAATGTCGTTTTACAACTGGTTTAGGATGACAATAACTGCAAGTTTTGTTCTTTATACTTCTATTGACAAAGATGATCTGCAAGCAACTGACATATCAAAGATAACAAAAATTCTATATTTAGTACACAACTTCAACGTAATTATCTTGAGATTGTAGCGAGGTAACAGGAACTACAACAGATATCAAAAGTTTCTGCTGGAACTAGTGATCCAAGTAATTCAAGAAAAACTATGCACATAAATTTGTTTTGGCAACTATTTCAAGAACTAGTGATCCAACTAATTCAAGCAAAACTAAGATTAATTACCATAGCCAAGAATAGCAGCATATAAATCATCAATATTAGCCGTCAGGGGCATGGGTTCACATTCTTAATTGGAAAATTAATCTTGATTAGCACAAAAGAATGCATCACTACACCAGGTCTGAAAATAATAAATCTCATGCGATGCAATACATATTGTTTCGAAAAGAAAGAATCAGAAGAATTATGAATCTCTAATCAACTTCGTCTGCGATTCAACGGTAAAAGTTTCTGTTCGCCTTCATTCTACTCGCGTTCTTGGAACATTTGGTTATCATGCACCAGAGTAATTACTCTCGACTCACCTTTCATTAATTGAATATTCCTTGGTATACATTTTTCTATTTCTTTTTTGGACTGTGTATATTCTGCTTTTGCTGACTATATTTATGTTTTAGCTGTCTCCATGTAATCCCATTTTGTGTTTACTGCTAAAGCTGATAATCCATCTATGATAGTTTCTTTCAGCTAT